ACCCTTATGGCAGAAAGTGAAGAACTGAAGAGTCTGTTGATGAAAGTGAAAGAGAAGAGTGAAAAAGTTAGCTTAAAACTGAACATTCAGAAAACTAAGATCATGGCATCTGGTCCCATCACTTCATGGTAAATAGATGGGGAAACAATGGATACAATGATGGACTTTATTTTCTTGGGCTCCAAAATCAATGCATATGGTGACTGCAGCCATGAAATTAAAAGATGCTTGCTCCTTGGAAGAAAAGCTATGACCAACCTAGAAAACATATTGAAAAGCAGAGACATTACTTTGCCAACAAAGGTCTGTCTAGTGAAAGCTATGGTTTTTCCAGTAGTCACGTATTGATGTGAGAGTTGAACTATAAAGAAAGCTGAGCGCTGGGGAATTGATGCTTTTGAACTCTGGTATTGGAGATGACGCTTGAGTCCATTGGACAGCAAGGAGATCCAACCAGTCAATCCTAGAGGAAATCAGTCCTGAGTATTCATTGGATGGACTGATGCTGAAGCTGAAACTCCAATACTTTGGCCACCTGATGGAAAGCACTGACTTATTTGAAAAGACCCTGATGCTGGGAAAGATTGAAGGCGGGAGGAAAAGGGGACGACAGAGGATAAGATGGTTGGATGGCATACCAACTCAATGGACATGTTTGAGTAAGCTCTGGGAGTTGCAGAAGTCTGGCGTGCTGCAGTCCATGGGGTCGCAAAGAGTCGGACACGACTGAGCGATTGAACTGTACTGAACTGAACCATCAAGTGTCAGTCTTATTTCCAAGCTATGTATGAGGGCCTATTTGAAGTAAAAATGCTAAGTTTAGAGATGGGGGATGAAATCTGATTTTGATAAGTGCAACCAAAATGGCATTCCATAAGTGGAAGCAGAAGTCAAATTAGGTTTCTAGAGGGAAGCTATTGGTAAAGAAATACCTGGAACATCTCCCTGTGTTTAGAAGGCAGATTCTGTGTTCAGTGACAGAAATCATTTTAGAAGTTCAGAGTAAAAGTGCATGGGTAGAACTGTGTCTTTTATGAGTTCTCTGGTTTGAGTGCTGTCTCTTAGAGACAGTCTCTTCATTAATACATGTTAGTGTCTCAGCTCAGTAAGGCTTATAAGGATCAAAAATCTAGATACTCTGGTAATGGGGTACATAGTGGTTTAAAATACACCCTTGAGTTGGATTGGTTTTGAATTCTGGCACTATTTACCAAATTTGTATCCAAATTTATTAACTCTTTGAGCCTCATCTGTGAAATGGGATTTATAATAGTATTACCAGGGTTATTTGATGGTTAAGTGAGTTCATCTGCGTAAAGCAGTCAGAACACTGATACATGAATGCTAAGTCACTTCAGTTGTCTCTGACTCTTTGTGACCCTATGGATAATAACCCGCCAGGCTCCTCTGTCCATGGGATTCTCCAGACAAGAATACTGGAGTGGGTTGCCATGCCCTGCTCTGGGGGATCTTTCCAATCCACGGATTGAACCCTCCTTTCTTAACATTTCTTGCACTGGCAAGCAGGTTCTTTACTTCTAGCACCACCTGGGAAGCCCTGACTGATGCATCATGGTAAGACCTATTTAAGTGTTAGCTATCATTCTTATTGTCAGTCTTGTTCTTACCTCTTTGCCTAATCTGCTTACACCCAGTTGCTGGGAGTGATTTGCAGGATATACTTTGTACTCTTTGCTGTCAGTACTATGGGAAAGATCAATTCTTTTTTTTTTTTTTTTTCCCAGTCAATCAACATATTTTGAGCATCGGTTCCCCTGCAGTGTCCTAGATGTGGGACTGCAGAGATGTCCAGGAACCTAAGACTTGATTCATTGAGTCAGATCAGTGCTTTGGAGGGTTGGTGAACACCGGACTCCTTTTAAGTGGCTGTCTTGAAAGGTGTATGTCCCAAACATAGCTCTGTGAGAAGCAGCCTGAGGGGTGCAAAAGCATGTAGGAGTCAGTAGATCTGGGTTCAAACTCTGGTGCCCTCTCTTACCAGGCTATGGCTCAGAACCTGCCCCAATCTAATGATACCAGCTACCTCACAGAGTTATTGTGAAAATTAAATATTAAAGACGAGGTGTATATAAATCCCCGGTACAGAGTAGGTTCTCAATATTGACTGTCACTATTATAAATCTGTAGGCCATGAGCTCATTTTACCTTTGTGGAACCTGTTGATATGCTTTGGTCATGACTTAGTGGGGTTATTTCTCAGCTGAGCCACTGATTTCCTAAGTTGGGCAAAACTAGCTGTTCCTCTCAACCCTGCCACTGACTATCTCTGTGACTTACCCTTCCTTGAGCTTTAGTCTTGTCACATATAAAATGGAGATGATTATGCTTCCTACATCTCAGGGTTGATTGCAGGATTAAATAAAATAATCCATTTATAAGGTGCCTGTTACACACTGGACTCGAAATAAATGGTAGCTACTATTTATTCCAAAAGTGTACGTGGTAGTTTCAGAGCTTCAAGGTTGATGACTATCTTACTCATACTCTTTATTTAATTTTGATTTTATTTTTTGGAGTTCTTTTCTGAATTTATTCACAGTTAAGCTGCCTTTTAAAAGTTGTACTCCCTTTTGTTAATATTTGTAAGTGATTTTATTTAGCTATAAGCTTGGAATGCATACAATTCTGTGTTCTGCTTTGTTCACTTAATGTTATATGGTTAATAGTATCTGTATTTCATAAACATTGTTGTAATAACTGTATAATGTTAAGTAGATGTGCCATAATTTAATCATTCCCCTATTGCTGTGCAATTAAGTTGTTTCCAATATTCTCCAATTATACTGTCTAAATGGATGACTATCTAAACGTATGTAGCTTTTTGATATTTTAAATTTAGTTCTGTGGGATGAATTCCTAGGAATATTCTTTGGTCAAAGGGGATAAACATATCTTTTGAATACATATGGCTAATTTGCTTTCCTAAAGGGCTCAACTGACTTACCTTTCATCCTTATTGTTTTGTAAACTTCACTTCATTGTCTCACTCAACATACATTTTAAAGCCCTTATCTTGAGGCAGGCTTAGTGAGAAGCAGGTGACATGGGGAGAAGCTCCTGCCTTGCTGATGGAGCCCTGGGAGGGGCCTGCAGCTCAGTGGGTAGAATGTTGCTTCTTTGGGATTATTTACAGAAATACTTAGCAAGACCAGCCCCATCTTTGGTCTTGGAAATCCCATTGATAGCATGCATTCTTCCAAAGAAGGACCTATTTGTCTGTTTTTTCCTGATGTGCTATCTAGAGCAAATTATTCCTCATAGTTATATGGTAGCAGTGTTTTTTGTTCTACAAAAAAAGTAATACATGCTCATTATGGGAAATTTAGAAAACATAGGAAAGTGTTTTTAAAAAAAAAATCACCCATGCATGTTCTTACCATCCTAGGACATCCACTGCTTTTATCCATGTATTTCCTTCTATAAAGAAGATTTAAAAAAGAATTTAATGTAGAACCATATCAAAGGTTTGGAATCTAAAATACCAGAAATCCAACAACAAATAATAAACAAAAAATGAAACCAAGCTGAAGCAAGGTTAAATTAATTATGATCTATTCATAGTGTGGAGTATCAAGTGGCCATCAAAATCCATATTTTAAGAGAATATTTTATGTAATGGGGGACACTCCCAGTATGATATTCAATGAAAAAGCAAAATACAAAATTACACATGCTGTATAATCTTAATTTGTAGAGAAAAAATATTATTTATGTATGAATAGAAAAGAAAGACAAAAATATTAATGGAGAACCATTATTAGCTTAATTTACTAGGGATTATCTCCAGGAAGTAGGATTAACAGTGATTTATATTTATTTTTTTCTACTTTTCTGTATTTTTTTAATTTCAAATTTTTCACAATAAAAATATATGGACTTGGGGATCAAAAAAAATCTATTTAAATAAAAGGAAAGATTTCATATCTGTGTTCTCTTGGCTTTATGGCTCTGAAGACACAGTTGTAGTTACTCTCATCCACAAGAGCCCGAGATTCTTCTGGGCTTTTGGTGTTCTTCCTAATTAGAACATCGGAGTCTAGAACTGAAAGGAATGATAGAGGTGAGGCTTCAAGCAGTGGAACTAGTTGTATGAACACCATAGGTTCAGTTAGATTATGTCGCATGATTTCTATCCTGTCCCTATGCTTATTTATCCCCTGGTAGCTCACTGAAGCAGATCTTTCCTTAGAGAAACCCCATTGCTTTAACCAGTCACTAACACTTATGTTCAGTGGTCATCTAACTCACTGGAGAAGATGGTGACCAGATCGGGACAGATGGGGAAGGCCTCTGCACTCTTCCCGGATATTTCCAGCCCTGGTGGCACACAGGTCCACGTGAAACTGAGTGTGAATTTCCATTATCCTTTGGAGCCTTTTTCTCAGCCCCACGGGGGCAACCTCACTTGTGTCTTTAGAGCTGAGCTGGTGTGTATTTAGCACAGCAGTTTGCGCAGGCTGTCTTCTTTCACCAAATGGTCATAACATACCTAACACCGTGCTAAGGCTGTGGAGGTTCAAAGGTGAGCTAATCCAGTGCTTGCTTTCAGGGTGCTCATATGTAGTGAGGAAGCCAGTAACAAAAACACGATTTCAGGGGCTCAGGGAAACTGTTATGGGAGGAGGATTCATGGGTTACTCTGGGAGCACAGCAGAAGGGCTTCCCGCTCTGCCTGAGATTTTAGTAAAGGAAATTGTGCCTGGTTGAGTCTTGAAGGGTGAGTGGAGGTGAGCCAGATGAAGCAGGATGGGAGGCATCTTCCCTTTCTTAGAGAGAACACAGAGGTATGGAATAATAGTAAGGTACATAAGGTGAGAACTACAAACGGTTCAGTAGCATTAAAGCTTAGAGAGTGGTAAGAGAGGCCGGATAAGTAGGTTCATGGTTTAGTTCATCTTTTCATGGATTTCCCAAAGCTCAATAGTGTTAGGCACCCATGTTTGTTTAATTCACATTGCTTTGTCTTATTTTCCACTCAGTGTCAGCTGTTTCTGGAAGTGGCCTGGCCTCTATTCATCTTCCTGATCCTGATCTCCGTGCGGCTGAGCTACCCACCCTATGAACAACATGAATGTGAGTATCTGAGCATCCCGCCTGAGGCTCACCACTGGCAAGCAAAATTCAGGCAAAGGGCAGGGACTAAATGTGACCTTTCCTGTGGCTCTATCTTTAGGAAACTTGGAAAATGATTTGGAACAGAACAGCTAGGCTTCCGATTATTTGATAAGGCATCAACTCAGGAAACCATTTTCAGCCCTAGTGAATGGTGATAATAGTAATTATAATAATAGCTGACATCTGTTTCATACATTTTCAATCATGAAAATAAAATAATCTTACTGATAGCTCAGAGAGGGGTGATTAAAAAAGCTCCCTAAGGCAATACCTTAACATCCCTGTCATCTGGTCCCTGCCAGGCGTTTTCACATACATTATGTTTTTATCACTCAGTTGCAAATCATGGAACATATAATTTTAAGCAGCATTTGTGTAGAATATCTCAGATCAACTAATATTATTCCATTTGATTCTCATAACAACCTTGTATAATGGACTTTATCATTGTGATCATTTGCTTTAATTTCTTAATAAGTAAATAGAGACTCAGAAAAGTTCAGGGGCCTGCCTGAGGTCACATATCTATTAAGTGACAGCGATGCAATAAAACTCAGGTCATTTGACTCCCAATCATGTGTTTGGATGATGGCCTTTTCAATGAGCATAGCGAATACAATAGTGGCTAAGAACACATGCTCTAGATGTCAGGTTACCTGGTTTGAATCTTGGCTTCAACACAGGTAGTCACCTTGGGCAAGTGACTTAGGTTCTCTTTACTGAGCTTACTCATCTCTATAAAAGGGGAATAGTGCTTACCCCATATGTTTGTTGTGGGGCTTCCTTGGTGGCTCAGATGGTAAAGAATCTGCCTGCAACACAGAAGACCTAGGTTCAATCCCTGGGTCGGGAAGATTCCCAGGAGAAGGGAATGGTTACCCACTCCAGTATTCTTGCCTGGAGAATTGCATGAACAGTGGAGCCTGCTAGGCTATAGTCCATGGGGTTGGAAAGAAGCGACTAACACTTTCATTTTATTTTTTCATGGTTGTTGTGAGTGTTATCCCACAATCTCAATCTTTCTCTCCTGGCTGAGCTTGCTAGATGGATTAACACTGCAAAAATGCCCCAATCTAAAAGATCAGCATTTGTGGGGGAGTTTAGCTGGGACTTTTATTCCATGGCCCCTGTGACTTTTCCTGTCATTATCCAGCTCCATCCACAGCCCACCAGCCCCATCAGTTCAGTCTCTCAGTCGTGTCTGACTCTTTGTGACCTCATGGACTGCAGTTCTCCAGGCTTCCCTGTCCATCACCAACTCGCAGAGCTTGCTCAAACTCATGTCCACTGAGTCGGTGATGCCATCCAACCATCTCATCCTCTGTCGTCCCCTTCTTCTCCCACCTTCAGTCTTTCCCAGCATCAGGGTCTTTTCCAATGAGTCAGTTCTTCACATCAGGTGGCCAAAGTATTGGAGCTTCAGCTTCAGCATCAGTCCTTCCAATGAATATTCAGGACTGATTTCCTTTAGGATAGATTGGCTTGATCTCCTTGCACTCCACAGGACTCTCGAGAGTCTTCTCTAACACCACAGCTCAAAAGCATCAATTCTTTGGCGCTCAGCTTTCTTTATGGTCTCACATCCATACATGACTACTGGAAAAACCATAGCTTTGAATAGATGGACCTTTGTCAGCAAAGTAATGTCTCTGCTTTTTATTATTCTCTCTAGGTTGGTCATAGCTTTTCTTCCAAGAAGCAAGCATTTTCTCTAGTAGCTCAGCTGGTAAAGAACCAGCCCCATAGGTGTACTGGACACAGTTCTTCAGGGAAGTGGTGGGACTGGGTTCACATTTGAATTGTGTTCCCAGTCTGATCCTATGTCTTTCAGGGCACATACTGACAGTTATTCATCTGCTAATTTGCTAGTACACATTATACATATTCAAGTTAAAAAAAAAACAGAACCTGAAAACATTCTACCAGATGTGATTTTCTGATTTTACCAAAAAGGAAAAGCACATACAATGAAATATATACTCAATTTGTGGTCTTTCTCTGGAATTATCACAAACAAGCAAGGCAGTGTAGTGGAAATCGCACAGAGTTTAGTATCAGAAAAATTGGGATTTGTTTGGATCCCACTTCCTGGCTCTGCCGCTTGCTGAGGTTGTGATCTTGGGCAAGTTGAATTTTGACCCAGATCTCTTTGAATCCAGACCATCCATTCTCAGAAATGTTGTGAAATTCGTATACCTAAGATAAGACTTTTGCCCTCCATCAGTGCAGTTCTTGCAGCTTTACTTCCTGTTCTCAGCCCCTTCTAGGGACCTGGCTGGAAGGGCAGAGAGTTAAGCTGATGCTTGCAGAGGTGTCTTGTCTCTGGGAGCAAGGGGTTGGTATATAATTCTTCCCCATTAATCTTTCCCAGTTTGACTCAGACCCATGAAGATCCTAATCGCTTCCCTGGATCACGAGAGTCCATCATCCCGTGCACCTGATGCCAAATCCTCATCCTGGTTTTGTCTGCAAATCAGATGGGACATGACACCTGGGGAAGGGTGTGCTCACACTCACTGGGCTGCAGCCTGAAGCACCTTGTCAGTGTGCTGGACCAACACCACCCTGCCTTTGGTGCCAGCATCTCCTGGAGGTTAAAAGGGGACAATCCCTTGGTCCTTCCAGTATGAGGAGCAGCTGACTTAGGCAAGGGACCTTGTTTGGTTTTCCTTGAACTATTAACAGGGAGATAAGGGGATTAACTGAGTAAATGCTCAACAGGCCAGAGTCCCTGCAGAGGTTGGTGGCAGGGACCAGATCTTGTTTCATCCTCGTTTTGGATGTTGCTTCTCTGGTTGCTATGTGGACAGAAGAAAAAGACAGATAAAAGGACCCCAGTATTGAAATGCAAAATGTCGCAAGTCCCGGCTATGGGTGAGCTTCTGGGGAGACTCTGTTAGTCCATTTGCATGAAAATGTAAACTGAAAAAAATGGATTTATGCCTTAGAGGGAGGTGGGGGCTGTGAGACGGAAGGAGTGCTCCTGGCTGGGCAGGAGAAGAGGAAGTGCTGTTGCAGGCTGGCCGCCAAGCACTGCAGTAACTCTAGTGGGCCCATTCACTCATCCTTACCCCGTGCCAGGGACTCACACTTTGCCTATGAAAACTCATGTAATACTTACCGTGGCTCTGCAAGATGGATTCTATTGTTATCATCATTTCATATATGAAGAAGCTGAGGGCTTACGGGGTCACTGACTTGACCAAAGTCACTGTTTAGCAAGTCGCAGAGACTGGATGTATATCCCAGTTGGTCTGACCCTAAACCCTGTGAAGCTCTATGGCTCTTCACCACCTAGAGCCTTTGTTCTTAATGATTGTCAACTCTTTGGGGGTCACAGGTAATCCTGAGAATATGATGAGTGCTGGAGCCTCGGACTTTCTGTCACAGGAATCCACAAAAGCTTGGTCTCAAGTTAAGAGACCCAGGTTCCAGGGCACGTTTATCTTGATCTGCTTAAGCAGCTCCATGGCTCATGTCCATGAACCAAACTGTACTTTGATGCCTCTCACCAGTGCCTGTACATGCAGTCCTGCTGTTTGTAAGAAGTTCCTCTGTAGTGAAGGGGAAGGAAAGAGAGGAGATGGCCTGCAAGATGGGGCTTGTTGTTTTGGTGGATAGAGAAGCAGCAACAGCAACTAATGTAGCTTCACAGATGACATTTGATCCTAAGCTAGCACCTTCATTGAGTGCCTTTGAGGAGCTTGGGAGCTAGTGGAGAAGGTGAACAGAGGACAGTAATGGGGGTATTGAGAAGACCCAACACTTAAAGGAGTTGTTAGTTGCTGAGTCATGTCCAACTCTTTGTGACCCCATGGATTGCAGCATACCAGGCTCCTCTGTCCTTCACTGTCTCCCAGAGTTTGCTCAAATTCATGTCCATTAAGTCGGCGATGCCATCCAACCATCTCATCCTCTGTTGCTCCTTCTCCTCTTGCCCTCAGTCTTTCCCAGGATCAGGGTCTTTTGCAATGAGTCAGCTCTTTGCATCAGGTGGTCAGAGTATTAGAGCTTCAACTTCAGCATCAGTCCTTCCAATGAATATTCAGGGTTGATTTCCTTTAGGATTGACTGGTTTGATCTCCTTGCTGTCCAGGGGACTCTTCGGAGTCTCCTCCAGCGCCACAATTTGAAAGCATCAATTCTTCGGCTCTCAGCCTTCTTTATGGTCCAGCTCTCACATCCATGACTACTGGAAAAACCATAGCTCTGACTATATGGACCTTTGTCAGCAAAGTGATGTCTCTACTTTCTAATATAATGTCTAGGTTTGTCATAGCTTTTCTTCCAAGAAGCAAGTATCTTTTAATTTCATGGCTGCAGTCACCATCCACAGTGATTTTGGAGCCCAACAAAATAAAATCTGTCACTACTTCCATTGTTTCCCCTTCTATTTGCCATAAAGTGATGGGACTGGATGCCATGATCTTAGTTTTTTTTTTTTTTTATGTTGAGTTTTAAAGGAGGCCACAGGTGTAAGGGAAGGAACATGACTGAGATCACAGAAGCGAGGGTTCTACCCCTGGTCCTGCCTACTGAGTCCCTGAGTGTTCTTCATCAGCCACTTTATCTCACCATGGTTTCTTCTTTTAAATATGAAGGAAGAGGATTAAGTCATCACCAGGGCCTCTCTGTGTCTCCAAAGGGTGAAGTGGGTGGCAGAAGGTGAAGGAATGATGATCTCATACTTGCTGCCCTCCAGGCACCTTCTGTGTATGATCTGGTCACTTCCCCAAGGCTGGTGTCATGAATCCAACCCTACAGATGATGTCAGGTAGATTAAGAACTGCTATCTGATGCCACATTTCCAACTCATGATCAGTCGATGGTGGCAGTTTTCTGGGATTCAGAGAATGGGACAGGTTTGGAATGGAACAATGTTTGGGTGGAACCGAAAGAGAAAAAGGTTGCTATCAAGTCCCAAATCCTTCAAAGGATTAATGTTTCTCCTTGTGTTTTTCTCTTCCTCAATTTCAACAGGCCACTTTCCAAACAAAGCCATGCCCTCTGCAGGAACTCTTCCTTGGGTTCAGGGGATTATCTGTAATGCCAATAACCCCTGTTTCCGTTATCCAACTCCTGGTGAGGCTCCGGGAGTTGTTGGAAACTTTAACAAGTCCATGTAAGTACTGGATCAGGTTTTCTTTCCCAAACTTGTCAGTTAAAACTTTCTCTTTCCTTTCTCAGACTCCGGGGAATTTTAAATGGTTGGGTTTGAGTAAAGGTGCTTTTGTGAAGGTTTGTGTGATAAAAGTCCAAAGGATGAGACCAGGGAGAATTACTGCCAAAATTTAAAACCTTGTAAGCTCATTTTGGTGCATTTTTTATATAGCTGACAGTTCTGTGGTTGAGGGCCTTTCCTGAAAAAACTGGCAGGTAGAGAGGTGGGGAGAGGGGAGGAGAGGGTGAGATGTATGCAAAGAGTTACATGGGAACTTACATTACCATATGTAAAATAGTTAGCCAATGGGAATTTGCTGTTTGGCTCAGGAAACTCAAACTGGGGCTGTGTATCAACCTAGAGGGTGGGGTGGGGAGGGAGACGGGAGGGAGCTTCAAAAGGGAGGGGGTATATGTATACTCATGGCTGATTCTTGTTGAGGTTTGACAGAAAACAGAAAAATTCTGCAAAGCAATTACCCTCCAATAAAAAAATTAATTAATTAAAAAAAGAAAGAAAAACTGGCAGGTAAGTAGAGAAGGGAGACATAGCACGTCAGCCTCATGCATTAATGAGCAAACACTTATTTAGCAAATGTTTATTGTGTGCGGGAGACGGCCGGTCCAGAAGTTGGGATGTGGAGGTGTGCAGAGGATGTGGCCTGTCTTCAAGGAGCTCACAGCCAAGGCTGGGGGAACTTTGTCCTTTCTGCTCTCGGATCACCTTTCCTCCCTCACATGTGCCCCATCACACTTCAGCGTCCGTCCTTCTGTCTGCAGGTCTTTCTTGGCCCTGGGTGTAACCTCCCTGAAGGCCATCTTTCATCACTTTTGTATTCCTGGCTCATGGTTTCAACAACAGACATAAGCAGGGCTGAGTAAGTGTTTGCTGAATGAGCCATTGAAGATTTTTGGAAGACACGGAAGCATGGAGGGAGTTAGAAAGGACCAAAGATTGCAGGGTACACAGCAGGACAGTTCTGAGGAAACTGCTGCTAGGCAGGCAGGGCCCCATTATGACGTCACGGGCCTTAGCCTTCGTGACTTTCATGAACCCCTTTTCCCGTGCAACAGCTTTAAAATTTTTATTTTTTAACCATGTTGGGTATAAAGATGAGTATAATCCAGGCTAAATTAATTATATGCATTCATTCTGAAATTTTTTTCCTGATTTTAAAAGAAATTTAAAAATGTTGTGGACTCCTAAGTGTATCTTGGGCCCTAGACACTTTGTCTGCTGTGTTTCATGGATAAGTTGGTCCCTGGGGGCCTGTCTGTGTGTGTGTGTGTGCGCGCGCATGGGCATGTGAGGGAGTGCTTCCTACAGAGGCAGCATGTGGACTGGGCCTTGAAGGCTGGTAAGGTTTGGTTGGGCAGATACATGAGGATGAGTGTTTGGGGCAGGGTGGGTGGGTGAATGGGTGGGTGGGAGCATAGCATCTCAGATGCTGGGTGAGGGGGCAGCTGGAGTGGGTCAGGGGTGGCCCACAGGGTCCCTGCAGCCAAGCTGGGTGTTCCTGGCAGGTACTTTGTTCAAACTTGAGAGACAGCTGGTCTAACCAGGATGTTTCTGCTTTTCTTGCTCCCACTGCAGTGTATCTCGCCTGTTCTCAGACGCTCGGCGGCTTCTCTTGTACAGCCACAGAGACACCAGCATGAAGGACATACGCAAAGTTTTGAAGACGTTATACCAGATTGAGCGTTCCAGCTCACGTAAGCAAAAACCGTCTTTGAATTGGCTCGTAATTGGAAATGAACCTGCACCAGGGAGAGACAGCAGCTGACGCGTCCTGGCGCTTGTTCCTTTCAGCTCTTTCTGTGGGGTTTTCCTCCGCAGTGGCTAGGCTGCAAGGCCTCTCTGCAGGATGTATTTGAGAAGAAGGTATGGAGATTATGAGTGCCCTGGCCTCCTCTGGGCACATAAAAGAAACCCCCTAGAGAGGAATGGCACTGGCCTGGCTTAAGGACAGTTAGGGGTGCAGGTTGCTGCCAACCTCATTTTATGGAGTTGGCCATATGGTTGCCATGAGTGGGCAGATGTGTAGACAGGGGATGCTTCTGTGTATAAGAGCAGATAAAGTTGCAACTTGATATGGATAAGTGAAAGTTACGTGTTCACTTCTAAAAGAAAAATGCAGTTCATCATCCCCCTAATCATTTGATTTAGTCAATGAGCATTTGAACCTCTGATCTCTAAAAAGTGACATCCTTATCTCTGATCCAGTGAGGGCCTGGGCAGTTTATTGCCATCTAGGAAGTAGCTGGGAGCAGGTAGCTTGCTGGCCGAGGCGCTGGCTGCAGAAGTCACTGTGGAGCAGCCTCCCAGGCAGTGGCCCACCAGGGGGGCAGGGGGTGGTGGGAGCATGCCCCCAGATGCAGGTTGTGATGGCCTGCGTGGTCTGTAGAGAATTCAGAAGCAGTCATGAAGCTGACTAAGAGTCAGTCTCTTTTTATCATCTCCATGCACTGGTGGTTCTAAACAGTGTTGAGTGATAAATTACTCCGTCACCAGTCAGCTGCCACCACCGCTCCAGGAAAGTGCTTTTTTCTTAGTTCGGTGTTGGGAGGAATAGGTGGGCTGGCTTCTGCTGAGAGGCCTCCCAGTTTGCTATCCACTTGGTGAAAACAGAAATAGTGTAAAGTGCCAGAGGTTAAACCAGGCTTGTATTGGAGCTTTCTCTTGGGTGGCTGGACTGTGCTTTACCTGGAGGCAAACTGTATGGGAGGTGGTGAGCGGGAGGTGTCGTTTCACAAGAAAAACAGGTGTGACCGTGCCTGGGCTCTGGGTCAGCTCTGAGGAGCTCCCAGCTGCTCAGCTCCTAGGTGCACAGCCAGGCCATCTGGATGCCATCTCCTTGCCTTGTAGACCCCCATCCTGCACACCTGTCTGTCCCAGCACAGGACACAGAGACAACCACCACCAGTCAAGGCATTTGTCTTTCCTGATCTGCTGGGGGCCCCCTGCCTGGTAGACCAGAGACAGTCAGGGTTATTTCTTCTACTGCTGAGTCAGTGTGACCCAGAGGAAAGAGTACTACAGTGTATTATCTTGTAGCTTGGTGACTTTGTGAATAAGTCCTTTTAGGCCTTTTGGGGCCACACTTCTCATCTGTAAAATGGAGCCAGTAGGAGAACTTTAGCTCATAGGATTGTTGTGAGGAGTAGAGGAGTCTTCTGTCAAAGCTTATCTCTCCCTTCACCCTTGTCTGCCCTGCAGCTACTTCTTAGGGCCACTTCTGCCCTGCAGCTTCCACCTTTCTTGGCTGTCTTGGAGCACTGAGCCTGGCCTCAGTCCAGAGGGAGATGTAGAGAAATGTTGCTTCTTCCCAGGTGGAATCAGTAACTTTTTGCTGAATTTGAATAACACGCTAGATGTCAGAGGGGTTTCCCAGGCGGCACTAGTAGTAAAGAACCCACCTGCCAATGCAGGAGATGTAAGAGACGTGGGTTTGATCCCTGGCTCAGGAAGATCTCCTGGAGGAGGGCATAGCAACCCACTCCAGTATTCTTGCCTGGAGAATCCCATGGACAGAGGAGCCTGGAGGGGCCTGGAGGGCTATAGTCCATAAGGTCACAAAGCATCAGACACAACTGAAGTGACTTAGCACACACACATGCATGCACTAGATTTCAGAGAGTCCAAGGCTGGGGTATATCAGTGTAGATCCTGACTTGGAGACCTGTTTCTCTGCAGTGAAACCCCTACTCAGAGGCTCAGCTCTCTTGTGCTGTCACTCTGCAGATGGAAAGGATCTTTGGTTGGAGTCCTGCCCTCATCAACCTTCTCTGCCTATTCAGGGGTGGCAGGTGGCAGGGACCTGCCTCTCCCATGGCAGCTCATTTTGGGTATTGGCAGAATACCAGTATTAGAATATTGGTATTCTAATTATCAGAATATATTCAATGGTCTTCTGTACCTCCCAGAGAAAGAGGCTGGCCTATTTCCCTTGAAGTGTTTATAGACAACTCTTGTGTTTCTTTCCCTCTCTTCCTGAAGTTTGTTGTCATTTTAGGCTAAAAGTCCTCCATCCCTCTTCTGGAATGTCTACCACACCCCGCACTTCCTGATTTCTGCCTCTCAGAGGAGGTAGTTGGTTGTGTTTCAGTGTTTCTTTGTCTTTCTTGAAGTTTATCAGAAATTACAACAGTCTTCTAGCACAGAGCAGAAAGGGATTTTCAGTCCCTTGCTCTGAGCACCATGTTTCTGTAATGTAGCCTTGGATTGCATGAGGCTTTTTGGCATCCACGTCACACAGTTGACTCATTCTCCATGTGCAGTCAACCCAAGCTGCAGAGCCTTTTAAATACAGAGTGTCGCAAGTTACTTGTTCTCCATTTATGAATTGTGCTGTTGGCTTTTTGAACCTAAAGGGAGAGTATCTATCTCTTTTCTGTTTTACATTTTTAGATTCCCTATGTCATCTCTTCCTACTCAAACTGTTTCAGATTCTGTTTTTGCCATGTGTTGTATTTACTAGTGCTGCTTGTTCCCTGTCATGTAGAAGTTTGATAAATAGCTCTCTTTGTTCTCATCCAAGTCGTTGGTGATTGTGGGACCAGCGTTGGAGGTTTGGATCGGTCCACTGGAGACTAACAGCCCCTTTGGACAGTGCCATTCAGGCTGTTGCAGACCTACCAACTGATGTTGTCTTTGTGCTGGGCCACCGGGCTCCTGGGATCTGGTTAGAGGACTTATCTTATTCTTCCCTTTCACTCCACCTGCTAACTCCATTGATACATCCACAGATAATTTTTGGACAGGGGGATGTCTGCTCAAATACTCTTTTCTAGTCCCATGGTTTGCTGGCTTAGGGCATTGTTTTATTTCCACTTGGATGAGACCTTAGACGTCAGTTAGTTCACTTATAGACAAATGGGTTGATTGAATCAAATGTTCAGCCAGTATTTATTGAACACTAATATGTCCCAACCTCTATTCTAGGTGCTGGGACATAGAGGTGTACAGAACAAATATGGCCCCTGTCCATACGGAACTTCTATTCTAGAAAAAAGACTGTGATCCAGCCAGGGATGGGGGAGGGACTTTCCCAAGTTTGCATAGCCACCAGAGGGATATTCTGGGAATGGAATACAGCTAAACCTCTGCTGCTCCATGCAGTGCTATTTCTACAGTGCTCTCTTGTGCTGTTCCAGCTGTTCCATTAATCTCCCAACTGGGAGGACCTCCAGTTCAAGAGTTAAGTCATAGTCAAGCCTACATATCCTTGAAACCATCCTAATAAGCACATGTAGGAAGCTTTACAGAGGGGCCTCACTCAGTTTTCTCATCAATGGAACTTTTTGGACCTTTTGTTTTCTTCCTAAATGTATATCCATCCAGGTTGGACAGGGGTTAAATTAATGTTTGGGAGTCTAGGTGAGGAGCATTTCACTCTTCTTAAGACCCCGTCATGACTCCATCCCAGTGGAAATATAAAAGTTGCACAAATTCTCAAAAGCTCTGGAAAAAGTGAGAGGTCTAGATTCTGTCTCTGTGAGATGCAGTCTGGCAACAAAGAGCATTTCTTTAAGTGAATCTTGTATGATATCTGAGATGGTTTTGAGCAGTACACAGATGACAACTTTTAATTTTAACCCACCTCAAAATAATTTCATGGTATTATTGCTTAGGAAGCTGTTAAATAGGGAAGAAATTACTTAAAGTTAATTTAAAGACGATATTTTCTGTGGGTGTGGTGAAACTTGTGTGAGTAGTTTTGTAGAGATGGAAGACTGGAAATTGCTGCTGTGAGAGAAAGCATTTTGGGTTTTGTATTAAGATTTGTTTGGGAGGAGTGATGTCACCAAGATGGTAAAAATAGGTCTTTGCTGACTTTGCTCCCCCCACAAAAAGATTCCTTTGGGGAACAAAATCAGGCTTTGTCCCTCATTAAGTGTGAAACTTGGGCATGCTTTGATTTATTCTGAATAAACTAAATTTACCCTCAGTTTACCTGAAAAATGGAGATCAGGTAGTCTGTGGGTTGTGTTTAGTTGCTCAGTCGTGTCCGATTCTTTTCAACCCCATGGACTGTAGCCCGCCAGGCTCCTCTGTCCATGGGAATTCTCCAGGCAAGAATACTGCAGTGGGTTGCCATGCCCTCCTCCAGGGGATCCTCCCAAACCAGGGTTCAAAACCATGTCTCCCACCTTGCGGGTGGATTCTTTACTATCTGAGCCACCAGGGAAGCCCTGGGGGTTGTTGAATGTTACATCAGATGACGTTGTGTGGATGGATGACTGATAGCGAGGTCATAGCACACAGCTGACATGCAATTAATCTGAGTTAGTTACCTCCCCATCTATTTCTGGCTACCTATTTGGCTTTGCCAATTTGTTTATCTTCTCTGGGCCTCAGCTTTCCTTGCCTTGAAATTGGGACTTCGGTGAAATAACCTGAACATGTTGCCTCTTGGAAACTTGGTACCTGGGTGGGGCATCACCTGGGTCTGACTGGTGCTGTGGGCTGGCCCCTGCTTGGGGCCCCTGGAGGGCAGGGCTGGGCCTTGTTTGTCACCCTGTCCCAAGCATCAACAAGATAGCACAGTATAATCAGGCACATGGCAAGCAGCCAGTGAATCTGCAGAATGAAGGGGAGATGATACCTGTCCTTTCTGCTTCACAGAGTATGTTGAGGGTCAAATGAAAGCACCTTGAAAAGTATAAAGTCCCAGCACATGTCATTTTCAAGTCGATCCATTGTGTGAACCCAG